GAAGTCTGGCGATTCTAAAAATATATACTTTCCCGGGTCTATTTGTAGTCATTTAGTCACAATTAGAAGATGAAAACAAGTATGCAAATAATAGTCCCGCTACCTTAAGTAGGCATTGTTTTTTTGACTCCTGAGCTTGTGGAATTTTTCCTTTCCTTGATTTCACATCAACTTTCTTTTCTAAAATCTCCCACTCGATCGCTCGCTCCTACCCTCGCAGATTTGAAATACATTACCCTAGATACAAAAAATGGACATTTTTAATTATACATATTGCTTTGTGACTATCCAATTTCGACTTAAAAATGTCATTCTTGACCTATAGTGTAGACAACAACAACAACAACGAGGACAGACATTTCCCACTATTATCTGTCCAAACATCAAGGATATGAGCAAGGCAAAAAAAAAAATGGCCGTCAGTTGACCATTTTTAACAAAATTGTAAAACATGCAGTGAGTAACTCACCTCTTGTTTGTATGCTAAATGTCAGTACCAAGTTGGAATGACCCAGCATGCATTGCCTCCATGCATTCAAAACAAAATTTAATGAAACTTACAAAATAAATGCTACATGTATATTTATCAGGGGTTTCGTCAAGAGCCCCCCGCCGGCCATATGGCCTACTACAAGCCCAAACTGGCCGCCTACTCTCTGTCCCCCCGACCGCCTACGCCAGTATCGCTGCAGCACTTCACACTGCCAAGAGCCTTATTATTTTATTTTTTTCCTGTTGTTACAGGATGATGGCCTGCTATTAAATACATTTGGGAAACCCCCTATTTATGTTTATATATTTTGTGCAGTACAGTGAAAGTAGAGATATTAAATGTACATACATTATACTACGATGGTCCATATGTCCCATTGTCATTGTCCCATGTCCTGACCAATTCCATGTCACTATCATATCACTTAATGGGGTGTATTTCAACTCAGCATTGTCACATCCAGTGTCATCAAAATCTGTCATTCTTGAAAACAATAGCGCCACAGCAATGTTAGGATCGCCGAATGAAGTGACTTGATGGTAATAACCTGAATTTAATAATGATTAAATAAAAAGGTATTTATATTGCACACACAAACATATATAATGACATGAAATATATATAGCCTCACACCTTGACACATAAACCTATAACTATTGTAGAAGAATAACACATTTTTGGTATAGACTCCCTAGAGGGACTGCATGGTGAGGCGTTCAATCCCTTGGTCAGAAGAGCATAGAACACTTCAAAATAAAAGGGAAATGGTCATGAGATCGCGCTGTGTCCTTTTTGATATTGGACTTATAGTAACGAAACAATGCATGTAAAATACATTGTTTGTTTACATGAACTTCAAAAATGTGCTGTGCGACAACCACGCCCTTTAAGGAGGAGACTTGCAGGACACTATAACCATAAAAAAAAATATAATGCAATTTTGCTGATCTGATTACAACACTGATCTGTAATAATAGACCATTTTTCTTTCACTGCGAGATCCAACATTATGCGTGAAATGAAACGTAAAAACAGAACAAACAAAGGTTATAGCATCGCAGTGGCGTCAAAACTAAGCATGGGATTTGACGAAAGCGAAAGTAGTTTTGTATAGTATCTCAGTGCCATATCACTTTCTGAAAGACCAGCATTTCAATATTGAGATACAAAAAAAGATACTCAAGTTCAAAAGCAAATCATTCGACCTATTCAGTATCGATATTGAAAAGTATTAATCTGGTTTTAACAACGCTGCTCATACCATTGTACCAATATACCCGCATAAGGCTGTAATATGTTCCAAATTTGACGAATAGACAAAAACACAATCACATTTGTACTGTTCAGAACAGTTTTTAAATAAAAACAATAGCCTAGTATACAACAATATATTCCATTCTTAAAGCACGGTGGTCGTCGCGCAGCACGTGTTCAAATTTCATGTAAATAAACAATGTATTTTACACGCATTGTATACGTCGCTATGAGTCCCATATTCAATAAGACCACACCCTTTAATTACTTACTTCTCGGTAAATATAAACAGTCTCCAGCATGTATAGTAAAGTTAGACCACCTAACTTTGGCAATATTTGGATGTTTTATCATATCGACACTGGACACATTGATTAACGAGATACCACCAATTGCTCGTTCGGGTTCCCATGATCGATAAATTAACGGCTCATATTTGTTTTCCACCATTTTCCATTGTTTAGTTCCACTAACCAGACAATTCCATGTGTTGAATGCATCTTTATGTAAAGCACTTTTACTGTTTCCTGCACTCATCCAAATATCAATTTCCACCAAACTGTCTTTGAAAGTGCCGCACTGCATAGATGGAGGAACCATGACTTCTGGGTACATGGCCGTCGGCAACTGAGATACGATATATTTGTTCACTTTTTGGTATGTGTCAATAAAATTACCAATAGTGTCTCGTCCAAGTCCTCTAACACCGGCAGGAATCTGAGATCCATATCCTCGTTCAACTTTCCCTTCTAATCGAATTTCCAAATCACCATACTTTTCTTTCAAATACTGTGTAGTCCATAGGTTAAACCCTGGGCTGTGTTTCATAGCTCCCCTCAAAATTAACGGTTTACCATGTTTAACATACTTCTCCCAGAATGTACGAGGATGAGGCGGTATGTCAGTTTCATCAATAGGCACATCGGGTGGCCGATGACCTCCAAGAGGCTGGAGATGACCTTTAGGGCAATAATTCTCTGGTTGTACTGCATACAATGACAATGTCAATAAAATTACCTGCAATAATGAAGCCTCCATATCGTACTGGAAAACAGAAATGGTACAAGAGTAATTAGAAGACAATTCCGACTAATCTAAAAGAACATATTTTTTAAATTTCTATAAAAAATCATAGTAAGTAATAAAATTTTAATATTTTATGTTTGCTTTAGTTCTTTATGAACTCTAAATTTAACAGAATTGTCCATAGTGAGCATCAATTAATTATTGGTCATTTCAAGCTGTCTTTTCTTGAACAGTACGTTGCAAATCTTCGCAGAAATTGTAACTTGATGTTCAAGTAACAGTTAACAGAATTTACGGGAAATATAGATTTTTTGTTTTGTTTAATGTTGTATGTTTTCTGTAACTCAAAGTTTGGTTAACTGTTTATTAAAATATGAGTTACAAAATTTAAACGTTAAACAATACAACAAATTTATGTTGCCTGTAACTCGAAGTTTTGTTGGGCCATTAAAAACGCAATGAAAAAGAAGTCGAGAATGAAATTCACTTCATGCAATGTCATGGTCCATCATTAATAAATAGAGTTTGTAAAAAACGCTATGAAAAAATAACCGAGAATGTTCTCCTCATCCTAGATTGTAGAACCTTATAAATAAAGAGGAAAAAACATCCTTGTTTGAAGAATGTGATGCCAAAACAAACCAAAAAGAGGAAACACAATATGCATGCAACTGTATTGCATTGGTCTAATATTTCAAAAATACAATATACAAAACTAAATAAATAAGAAAAAGAATTTTACATTTGTGTAATAGTATTTTTGTTTTTAATAGTTATACATACCGTAATATATTGTTTTTATCTGTGTGATTTATTGATGTTTTCTCTTTACCATACCAAACCCCTAGATGATACTTGCAGAGTAATAAAATTATTATTATAAAATCAATGAGTGTAATCTTGGTAGCATGATTGTCAGCTTCTATCCCCCCCCCCCCCCCGGGGGGGAGAGCTAATAGACAATTTTCAATTTCAATTAATGTTCCTCTCAAGTAACATCAATTTATGTTTGAATGTTTCATATCATATTTAAGTTGAGACAAACATAAAATTCGTACTTTTTTAGGAAATTATATATAAATCATGATTTTGTCACAATTATCCGGATTATTTAATTAGAGATAAATATATTTTTTAAAACAAAACAGCATTTCTGACGAAACAACTGTCACTGGGTCGAAAAAAAACGTTGGTACTAAAACGACAGCCACTGAAACGAAACAGCAGTGAGACGAAACTACTACTGTCGGCTTATTTATCGCTATACACAAGCGTACATCGACCCACAGGGGCCTGACGATCTATTCGTCTCAATGCGTGGACGTCTATGGGGCCGTGTGACTATGTCCCGGTACAGGACCTTACCCTTGCTCAAAATAATAGAAATTATGGAATTAAAACAGTTTAGTAATGTAAAGCATGCATGCATATGTTATTAAATTTAATCATCACGCTCCGAAACCACAAAAATAACTAATACTTGTTTCCGGCCGATCAGCTTGCACTATATATAATATATAGACGTCCAGCTATTGACGGTAGACGGTTACCAACACACAGGGCAACCAACACCCATGATCGTCTATATTATTATACAAACAATACAACCAGAAGTATATTACACGATGCAACTAAGTGGTCATGGTTTTATACTCACATTTATTTCCTGTTCCCAGTAATACCGGGACAATTTGAGCCTCAAACGCTACAACTATGTCAACCCGGAAACAAGTCCACTTTTACATGAAGGTTGAAATATTTTATACCAGCTAGAGGGCCTTACCCATCATGCACTGGTAAAAATGTAACTTTTGTAACACCGACAGCTACCACTTTCACTGCTTGCAGCATACAGGGAGCAGCGTCATTCACGTGTGGTAGCTAACAAGTTATCGCCAGCTTGTCTCTGATGTTTTTTTGATGATTTTTTAAAAATAATATTACAACTGCCTGTGGTGTCCCAGACGGACAGGAGTGAATCTGAATATGTTGTTGTCGTAGTTGTGATTTTTACAGACCTTGGCGGCTTCATACGGTTAATAAATTATCGACATAATTACTTACTAAGCAATCTCTAATGAAATTTCCATATAGATAATATTCCACAAAATTACTTCTACTACTAGGGTACTTTTTGTTGTCCTGAATTATTTCAAAAAAAAAAAAAAAAATGTAATTGTGTTCTATGGAATTATTCTGAACATCACGATATTTGAAAAATGTGAGGACAAGAGTCTCAAAATATGCCACTGTAAACACACCAAAGAATGCTATAATTTAGAGCAATTACTCCATGATCTTAAATAATAAACTAATGAACATTGTCATGCGATTTATGACAAATTTTCTCAAAACATTTTGAGTAAGCTTCTAACTTTAAGACATTTAATTGTAAGCCACAAGTTGTACAAACCGCACCTTGAAAATTGCTGAATCTTTCCATTTCTTTAGTTATGTATTTGGAAAAATTTAGTTATGTATTCACATGTGCCTGACAATTTATTTTTGTCTTTTGGTATTTTAATTTATTTATTAATGGACGAAAATATTATTCTTCTCTTCACCCTCAATAAACGTTTTGTTTCAATACATCTCCCTCCATATGATTATAATTACTTAAAAGTTGCATTTCCACTTCAGTACTCCAATATTTCAGAAACTGTGCCAAAGCAGTATTCAGTAGGATGTTTTCTGCATATACGGTAATACTAAATTGGAATATTTTTTTTTATTATGCTACAACACGAATAGTTGGTAAAACAATAAATATACATATTTAAAAACAACAAACACGAATAAATTTGCAAATGAGGGAACTGAAATGGTCTCTAGTCAGTCATATTTGATCAAATGGTTGGTAAAGAAAATTGACATGCATATGTATAAGCTTTGTATGTATATGTGTTGAGTTAGATTGAGTTTGTCGAACCATGGCTATGAGAAATGGCTCCAGGCGGACAGTAGACCCGAGTTTGGACTTTCATTCAAACACAATATTCATGATTCTGGCCATCGCGTGTGCCAGTTAAAACATTCATGTTTCTGGTCCTCAAACGTATCAGCTAAAATATTCGTGGTTTGGTCCTCGTACATATCAGTTGAAATATTCATGTTTCTAGTCCTCGCACGTATCAGTTAAAATGTTAATGTTTCTGGTCCTCAGAAGTATCAGTTAAAATATTCATGTTTCTGGCCATCGTGTGTGTCAGTTGAAAACTTGTGCAATCAAAGCATTATTTCCGGGTGTTCTCAGTTTCCATGAAAATCAAAATAAAACCACTTGTTCATAACCATTTTAATTGTATATCCGCACCCGCGTGATCTGTGAAAAATAGAATGACCAGAATTTTTTTTTCGACCAAAATTTATTGGAAGATATGCTTTGTATTTTTGGTATCAACATATAATAAATAAATTCTTAAATAAAAGTGAAGAGCAGTAATTCAGAGAAAAAAGCAGTAATTCAGCTAATAAATAAAACAGACCATATGTTTAATGGGAACGAATACAGTTATATGGTACAGCAAAGTTTGTAAGTATTAACGACCTATTAAGTGCTGAGAAAACAAGGGGGAAACATGTTGATAAAATGAAAGGCAGAAAGCTGTAGCTTAGTTTATAAAAATGTTTATAATATTTTTTAAATACCGATCTTTCAAATTCAAATATTCAATAATAATTGGCCCGAGACATCCACATTGTCTACTCCCATAATGCGCATGTGTGCCTTCAAATGACATAGCAACCGCGACTGCCCACTGCTGATTGGATGGTGCTATGTTGAACTAGCTTAGTAATATTGATTTCACTAGGCAATGACGTCGCCATAACAAATATTTATAAAAAGTTCTCCAGTTGTATGCTGTACGACTGTTAAGTGGTTGAAAATTAGAAATCTTGTAGTAAAAATTATAAACAACTGTGCAAAATTAATTATTTATTGCCTTTACGAAATTTAAATTATTATTCTTAAATTATTAAAATTAAGTATTCTGACATAATTTGTTTAAATCCATAAATTTATGAAAATGGATTCACTACTTAATGGGCGG